GGCTCACTCCGAAAGGCCACTTCTAGAAACCTCTGACTGGCCTTTCGGTACTTGTAGCAGCTACGACTTTGCCCCTTCAGGTAAGTAGGAGCTACRACCTTGACCCTTCAGACATCCTACAGCTACGACTTCGGAACTGTCTAGACTCCTACACTACAGGTCTACAGTYCGATTCCCTTCTACCCTGTGACCTACGAAGATCTACCTACCACTGGCGGTCCTACAGGTCGCGGGTTCAAGTCTACGGGTTGACACTGATACTGTACACAGGTAAGACGGGGAACTAGGGATCAAGCCCTGGGATCTGCACTCGCTACTGCAACTGGTGAATACCGTTTCACTCCCGCTGGCCTAAATTCGAGGTCATCCGAGAACATTTCAGTCCAAGGCAGGACCTTTACCCTTCTGCTGTCTCTCGTAGGCCCGGACTATATTGGGAGCTGTCTCTAGAAGTTCAGACCTTGTAAACCAGCGGTCGTCCTCCGGTTCCTGATAACTAAAATGAACCTTGTACTGTTTCTGCGGACGACCCCTACGTCCAGTTCTGAAGACATATTCAGCCACTATACCGTCTATGTCGTATCTTCCATCCATATCCGGTGGGATCATCGATCTACGGGATGGAAACTGATCACTTGTTTGACAAGGTAGCAACTTTGATGCGTGGAAAACTGGGTACGTGTGGAGGTGTGYTGGGAGTTCTATTGTATAGGACGGGCCATCTTCGCCGCCCTTGACTTCCAGAACAGGCCACGRYCCTCTATATGTAGGCAGTAACTTCTGCGAGATGTTCTCCTCAGGCGCAAACTCTTTAGAACTGACCCAGACTAAGTCGCCTACTTGAAACTGTGACGGGCGACGATGTTTGTTCGCTTGCTCTATCATCCTATGYTGGGCTTTCCTGAGGTTTTCTACRACAGTAGCTAGTTCCTTCTCGTGGTGTACAGCAAACTCCCAGGTCCCGGGCGGCAATCTGTGAATCTGATCCCGGTTGAGTTCCTCAAACGGTCTGCGCGGTCTAAAGGACTTGTGCAATTCGTTGGGAGTGCGACATGTGGACAGATGCACGCTGTTATTGTACGCACTAGCTACTTTGGGCAACATCTCATCCCAGTTARTCTGATCTGGCCTAATATACATGCGCAGAACTTGCTGTAGGATCTTGTTCATTTGCTCTGTCTGACCGTTAGTCTCTGGATGACGGYCGGACGACATCAACAATTTAGATCCGTATACTCCCATGAGTTCTTGCCAGTTCTGGCTAGTAAAGCGACTATCTCTATCGCTAACTATAGACAGTGGGATTCCATTCTCGCTCACCCAACAGTCAAAGAATCTTTGTATGACTAAATCAATACGTGCCTCTGAAGGCAAAGGAACAAAAATTGCGTACTTGCTAAAGCGGTTAACTATGACCATGACTTGGCTCTTGCCATGCCTRCTCTTGACTTGAGTGTCCATGAAATCTATGGACATTGAGTCTCCCGGCTGATCCGGAATGGGCAAGGGTCCGAGAAGACCTAGCGGGGCGCACGTAGAACTCTTATTACGTTGGCAGACTTTGCAACTGCGAACATACTCTACGCACTCATTCTTCATCCCTGACCAGGTATACGCGGGCATGAGATTGGCTAAAGTCTTTTGCCAACCAAAGTAACCCTCTGTGTCATGGCATTCTCCCAAAATCAGGCTACGGATCTCTTCACTATTGGGAATGCACAGGCGGTCAAAAACATTAGTCTTCTCAAAGAGCAACCCTTCAGTAGTGCGGTAGTTCGGCTCAGTCTCTGGGGCCTCCTTGACTCGTGTGAGGAGCTCGCTATAGATAGGGTCCTGCGCGTAGGCTTCTCTAACCTTCTGCTGCAGATCCTTTCCTATATCGAGGTAATGTACTATTGCCCCAAAATAATCAGCTCTTCTACTTAGAGCATCCGCGACTACGTTGTACTTTCCTTTGACTGGCTTGAGCTCGAAGTCATACTGATCTATCTCTGCGGCCCACCTAGTAAGCTTAGGTGTCATCTTGGCCTGTGTCTTTAACCATCGCAATGTCTCATGGTCAGAATAGACTTTGAAGTGCCTCCCAAGCAAGAAGTGCTTCCAGTGGTCTAACGCTTGCCTGAGAGCGTAGAGTTCCCTCTCATAGGTAGATGTCGCGACCTTCTCTGAAGGCATTCTAGCGGACATGAACTCTACGGGTCTATAACCATTGCCATCGTCTTGCTGCAACACTGCGCCTATGCCGTATTGGCTAGCATCCGTAGTGACGACAAAAGGCAAGGACGGATCGGCTACCTTAAGGACCGGGTATTCTATCAACGCCTGCTTCAACTTTTTCATGGCAGACGTGCAGTCCTTGTCCCACTTCCAGATGGTCTCCTTCCTGAGTAATCTGCGAAGGGGCGCAACGATAGTGGAGAAGTTCCTTACGAACTTCCTATAGTAGTTAGCTAGGCCTAAAAACGATCGCAACTCTGTCAAAATACGCGGTGTTGGCCAATCTCTAATTGCTGCAATCTTACTATCTTCAGGCTTAACGCCGTCTCCGTCTAAGACGTGGCCTAGGTACAAAACTCAGGTCTTTGCCCAATCACACTTCTTTGCATTAATCTTGAAGTTAGCTTCCCTTAGCTTCTCCAAGACTTGCCTGAGATGACCCTGATGCTCCTCAAGGGTCCTGCTAAACACTAGAATATCATCTAGGTAAACTACGACAAATCTGTCTAACCACGGCCTAAACAAATCGTTCATACAGCGCTGGAACGTAGCTGGCGATCATCAGGATGTACCTCTATCTGATGATATCCGGACTTTAAATCTATCTTAGAGAAATACTTGTCCCCCTGCACTCGATCTAAGAGATCGTCTATCCTCGGCAGTGGCTCAGCATTCTTCACTGTAATAGCATTCAGACCCCTATAGTCTATGCACATTCTCAGCTCTCCCTCTTTCTTAGGAACAAAGAGAACAGGCGCTCCGAAGGGAGACGAACTGGGCCTAATCCAACCCTTCTCGAGTAGCTCGTCTAATTGCTTTCGAAGCTCCTCTAACTCCCGTGGGGACATCCTGTACACAGCGCCCTTAGGAGTTCTACTGCCAGACTCTATCTCAATGCGGTGCTGGATGGGCCGCGGTACCACTCCTATCGGCGGCTCAGTTAGATCCTTGAACTCTTCCAGCAGCTTGGCAATCGCAGGGTCCATTGACTTTTCTTCCGTAGGCTCAGTCACTGGCCTAACATAGGCAACAAAAACCTGTTCCTCCAACTTCTCCTTTTTCACCAACCTGGCGAACGCAGGAGCACTAAGGCAGCAATGTGCCAAGGGATTCTCTACACCTGACACATGGAACAGGCGGGCAATCTTGGCCTCGCCCGAAGAACTAGGGAGCCTACACTCGTGCTCCTTCAGATGGAGCGTGGCCCCGACTGCCTCTCCCCAATCCATTCCCAGGACAATGTCGAATGGGAGGCTGTCTTCTACGAGGAGAGTTAGAGAGTGGAGGACCTTCTCCACTTTCCCATCCTTCTCTAGGCGGAAATACGCCTGGACTCCCTCTACATACTCCTCTACAACCATAGTACGATTGTCTGCGAGGATGCTAACTATAGGGTCTGCGAGCCTTTGGACTTTAAGTCCCAGCTTCAACTTCTGCAGAGCTTTCTTACTAATATAGCTGCGGGTGGCCCCTGAATCTACTAGGGCCCCTACTCTACCTCTAAAAATCTTTGTATCTAACAAGATCAACTGCCCTTTATTCTCCTTCTTCATCTTGGCCCAGGCGGGCCTCCTCTCTTTCAACTCGTCGGCTACGCCTGTGAGGGAGGTGTCTAGAGAGACCCTAACACAAGCAGTCTCTGGGCAGCTATCTAGACACCGGCCTGCAACCTCTGCCATAGGCACATGTGGTGTGGGAGTCTCCTGCCGGCTAGCGCTATGTTCCCCAGATGGCCTAATGGTAGGGGCAGTTGCTACCCCTACCGGCGGCTGCCTTTTGGCCCTTGAGCAGTCGTTCGGGTCTCGCGGTACTTAGGACAGTATTTGATGATATGGCCCGGGTCACCGCAGAAAATTCACTGGCCCCGGTCCAATCGTTGTTGCCATAAAGTCTTGTCCAGACCCAAAGTTTCCCAAGGCCTGCCCTGCGGTAGCCCCGGGTGCCATCCTCCTACCCGATAGGGAGACCTGTTCCTAGGACGGTTTTGCGGGGGACCTTGACCCCTGCCTCCCGCTTGGCGGTTTCCTCCTCTGCCGCCAACCCCCTGATCGCCCTGGAACCGGCTCCCTGAGGCCCGGCCCCCTTGGCCCTGGCCTCCCTCCAGCCGCGACAGCAACGTAAGTCCTCCCCTGGCCCACACCGCTGTCCTCCTCCTCTAACCCCCACTCACTCTGATCGTAGGGGATTTCATCCACACTACCTTCATCTAAAGTGAGCACAAGACTATCCTTAGTCTTGACCTGCCCTGAGATAGTGCGGCCCTTCCACTTTTTGCCTTTGTCTAAATCTTTGTGCCAGAAAGTGGAAATCAACGCAGACTTCGCCTCGAACGCGACCACTTCCCTGCTAAGTGCATCATAAGTCATAGCAGGGTCCTGACTTTTCGCGAAGAAGTGGCCACGCAGCGCTTCGGGCATAGCCCGGTAGAAGAGGTTGACCAACTGGGTCTCTGTGACCTTGTGGTCAGGGACAACCACTAACTCATCCATCATGCCCTTGAGTGCCCTTGCACTCTTCCATTGGCGCGAGTGTATTGTCTGAAGCCTATCCGAGGCTTTGACACTACGGGCAACATCAGCAAAACGCTCGCGCAACAATTTCAGGAACTCAACGAGGGGCGTGAATGTGGAGTACGCAACCGGATCGTCACTGCAATTGGCAGCGCGAACAAGGGACCTTGCGAAACTGGCGGCCTCATCCTTAAGTGCGTGGATCGCGGTTAGGACCTGCTGGTCCGGGGAGACCTGTTGCAAATGCACATAGGTCCTAACGTTGGCTCCCAATTGTCAAAGTTCTCTTCCCTTTTTCCACTGTAGGAATCGGGGAATTTGACTTTGACTGGCTCCCTACGAGGACGAGCCTCCTCCTCCTTGGGAGCTGCCACCTTGACGCCCTCAATGGCGCCGACACAAAAACGCTCAGTCTTCTCGAGGCGATGACTCACCTCGGACCCAACAGCGCCTACTAACTCACGAGCAAAGTCTCGTAATCCCGTTCGCATCGAATGCACAGATATCTCCTGGCTGCGACTAAACTCATAGTGCTTTTCTTGCCCTTTGGCTAAACGCTCGACGCCCTGGGCGATGATCTCCACCTTTCGCTGGAGATCTACCTGGGGTGTCAACTGTAAACTCAGTTTCTGCACCTCCTCCAATTCCTGTATTGCTGCATTCGCCGCCTCCACTCTTCTCTTCTTCTCCCTCATCATTGCGAGCTTCCACGCCATCCTCTGTTCATCCTCCATCGCCCGCCGCGTCAGAACATCTTCTTCTGCTTCCCATTTTTTCATAGCGGCTTCCTGCTCATCCTGGGGGATGTACATAGCAACCTCTTCCTCTTCACCCAAGGATAAGTTGGCGATCCACTCCGAAATCCGTTTCTCCATCTCTGCGTCTTTGCTGCCACTGTGCTGTCCACTCCTCCTTTGCAGTGGCGGTCCTTCCTCCTCTTCCTCGTCCACCTCTTTCAACTTCGCCTCCTCTTCCTTCATGATTCTCTCCTTCTCTCTGGCCATCTCTTCCTCAATCTTTCTCAACTTGGCCGCCTGCTCCTCCTGTAGGGCCTTCTTCTTGGCCTCCTTCTTCTCCTTTCTCTCCTGCAGGATGGCGGCCATCTTCTCCTCCTCCTCCTTCGTGTAAGGTTGGGTGGAAGTACCACCTCGAGTCCCTACTCTACACGTGAACGTGGGCCAGAACCCCAGAGGAAAGAGGAGACGCCAGAGGGTCCCCCAGAGGGAGAACCCAACAAGCAACCCGCACATCGGATAGTCGTCCATTGTGGTGTTAGGTGCACGACAATGTCCCACTCCTCACCACTTAGACCTACCCGGACATTGACCTACTGACTGACTTCCTAAAGACCACTACTCAAACTACTCTAAGGCTGTCACTACAGAACCAACAGCTGATCAGGAGGCATTTAAGGAGATCCCCCAAACTCCGCAGGAATTCTTTAAGGTCGCAACAGGACGACGCGATCAGCTTGGCTCCTCTGGCGATTTCAGCCCACAACTCAGCCCTTCCAGCCTCCTGTGCCACACCGAGCAGCCCGCCGGTCGGCACCGGTCCTTGGAGGGGTCGTGTCCCTCGGGTCAGTCGAGTCGTCAGACACGGATCATCAGCCTTCTGGGTCCGGTAGGGGAGTGGCTCAACCAGGCCTCAACACTTAAAGACGGCCTCCGTTTCAGCCTACAGCTCGGAGTTCGGACCCTCTACGCTGATCTCAGTAGACCTGCCGGACAGTACCGGTCATTGGGCTAGACGAGTTGTTTAACGAGCGCTCGCCGCTCATGCCCAGGTCTCCAGATGCCAGAGTAGAGCCTTGGTCCTACTAAGCCCGTGCAGGTTTGGCAGCAAGGCCCTATCCTTCATCCACAGAGTCCGAACACCTAGGACAGAAGAGACTCAATGCAGAAAGAGTAGACAAACAGACTCAGCAAGTACCGTGGGGTAAGTGCACATCCACAGGGTAAGGGGATAGGCTGAGGGCTCAACGAGATATCACCAACTCCGGCTTGGTCAAAATCTTGGTCAGCAGCTCCGTTCAACGCCTTGGTCAACGCTGAGTCAACGCGGACAACCCCGAGTCAACGCTTGGTCAACCACCTTGGTCAATGCCTAGTCAACCCCCTGGTCAACCCTTGGTCAACCCCTCACCTCGGCTATGGCTGCCGGCACCTTCACCTTCGTCACCCTCGCCGTCTACTTCCCCTTCCTTCACTTTCTTTCTTCTTCTCTATCTTCCTGTTTT